AATTACTTCTTGCTAAAAATTTAATACCCATTTTTAAGGACAAATCGCTAGATTTGCGTCTCGCTAAAATTTCCAATTATACGGTATTCTTTCCCAGAATGAGGATGGTGATAATCACAACCCGAGTCGTCTGTCTAAGAAACGTTGTTTGTCCGATATGGATACATAGTATGGGGGGGATTTTTTTTTTATCATATTTATAATGTTTAAAGTCTAAAGTAAATGATGATTCTGAGATTTAATAATAATATCATTGTTAATACATACAACTATTTTTCTAGCTCTAACTTTCATAACAAATTGCCAAGCAAAAGATACATCTCTTCCCCAGCTTGCCTTCGCTTGGCTATAAAACGAACGTCATTTTTAACAATCTCCTTCCCTTCAATTTAACAGTGAGTGAATCCAATTTATGATTAAACTTCTGGAAAGTCTATTGTCCTTATAATCTTTGTACAAATCATTATAAGATACTTCAAAAGAATTCCCAGGTTATACGTTAATTTTTACAGCCGTTCGTTGCTCGAGTAAGACTGAGTCAACAATTTTTTGTCACAATTCACCTACATATTGATGTCATTTTCACACTGTGACATCATAATAATGGGGAAAATCATTACTTTTATATGTTATTTATATATAAATAGAACATGTGTAAGACTACAGGTGTGCCAAATTTCACTCTGATTTGAAATGTTGTTTTGTAAATATAGAGATAGTTCGCGATTTTTTTGATCACCCCTCATAGTTTTTGCCCTGTCCATCCGTCTGTCTTTTCATCTGCAAATAACTTTAACCTTCCCCATAACTTTTGAATAGATGAAGGTAGAGCTTTCAAATTTCACAGGACTGTGAATTCCATTTTACAAGACATTTCTTTGGGTACCACCAAATTTTACCTCTTGACCTTGACCTTAGACTTTAACCTTGGCCATCAATTTTGAATAGTTAGCACTAGGCCTTTCATATTTCACAGGTGTATTCCTTGTGATACGACCTTTCTCTAGATACCAACAATTTTGACCTTTTGGCCTTGGACTTTGACTTGTATTTGAAAAACTTCGATTTTCACCATAAGCTGCAATCGATACGAGGGCATCAGTATTTCACAAACACATCTTGTTATAGTTTAAATTTATTTCAGATTCTCTTAACTTTTCAGTAATAATCCCTAACAAGGGGAAAGTCAGAAAGCTTGTGAGTTTTATAACTTCCGATGATGCCTTTTCTGTTTCTTGCAGTTTCCTTTCAGAAAACAGACAAAATCAGTCTGCCAATATTACTGTCAATCTAATTAGGGTGGTCTAAGATGGGATTCAATATCAAACAAGAAAAATCCTTCAAAATGACAAATCGCTCTTAATAATGACAGACTCATATTTCATTTTAATATGAACAAAAATAACATTATTCTGAAGTGAAAGAATACAGGAAATGTTTTGACTTTTAGTACCACAATAAACCTGAAGGATTTTGACAGGGGTAATATAAACCCATATTTGGTGTAAATAAATATTGAGGAACTTATCTTTAAAATCAACCTAATTATGATTCTTAAGTCTGTATGATTTGTTAAATATTTGATTTTCTATCGATAATAACTTGTATGAGGTCACAAATTGACTCTGTGTAAACACCATAAGAAAACCCTGATCAATCCTTATCAAAACTTTGTAAATGTCAGAACAAACTTTGTGGGAACCTTTTGCTCAAAGACAAATATTTTTCCCCTATAAGAACTATAATGCTGGGTCGATTCAAAAAACCATCATCATCCACCATCAAACCTTTTCACCTAATTTGAAATTTTTCATGACAGAAATACCCATCAAACTCATGAACTGCATGATCAAATTAGCATGAATCAGAGGTCTGACTTTATAATTACATTATTTCTTAATTTTGAGCACATCTTAAAATTCAAATTCATTATTGCTAAGTTTAACTGTTATACAAGAAAACTAGCAATTGATTATGTAAAAATTGATACACTGTAATATTTTTTTCACAGTAACTAAATAGATACAAATTACTACTGACATTTTCTTGCTTTAAAGCTAACTTTTGCTACCATGGCTGATACTTTTGTAACTGATGCTATCATTTCTAGCACTAACTTTGTAACCATGGTTACCACTGCTAGAACTTAAAATGTAAATGTTGACACTATTCTAGCAGTAGCTATTTTATTTTTCTTGGCTTGCATTCTATAGCACAGTGCTAATTGACTCTTGATTCTGTTGGTGGAATTGTGCATTTTGTCCAGTGATCAAAACAAAATCATATTAAGCTCTTCAATAGAGCTGACATTAGACACATTTTCTGAGTCTGCTTAATTCAGTTGCAGGAAAAAAATGGAATTTGTTGACGTGTAGAATATCAATCTACGAGCAATACTATAACATCACACATCTGTATCTGAATTAATCGTATCAATTCACACTATGGATAAGTAAAACACACCAATTCACACTAAGGATAAAGTAAAAGTTGTGTCACTTGATACCTGACTGAAAATCCAGAATTTTTTATTGAAGTCTCTTGTTCAGGGTGTGAGTATAATGTGTGAGGTTATTATTATTGTTTGGCAGAAGGCTGGAAACCTACTCACAAGTCCAACTGGAGGTAATTGACCCCTTATTGTTTTGTGATTATTTATTGATTATATAAGAAATAACTGTCATAAGTTCTGGAAATAAACTTCTGATAACAACCAGATGTAAAATACAGACAACTGTAACAGGAAAGGAGAAAATGCATGGCTGGAAATAAATCTCTAGTCAGGTGCTCTACCAATTGAATCCAGGCCGATATCCACGGCCCATGGTCTTCGCCCTCGAAGACACAACCCAAGTTCTTATTGCCCCTGGCAAAACACAAACCAAATCTGTAACAGGAAAGGAGAAAATGCATGGCTGGACCGGGAATCGAACCCGGGACCCCTGTATCTCTAGTCAGGTGCTCTACCAATTGAGCTATCCAGGCCGATATCCACGGCCCAAACCATTACACAACAAACGAGGGGGACTTTTTCTCTGTGTTTTGTAATTTTCCAACACTGCCATACAAACACCATGATATCATAATTATATTACCAATGCAACTGTGTATAAAGCATACATTTTGAAATGAAATAACATACCCTTCGTTTTACATTTTCAAACTTAAAAATGTTCCCTTAAGGTCGTGTGACATCATTTCCTGTTACAATAGTTTCCTTTTTTTTACCCTGAGCTAAACACCACCCCTCCACACCTCCTAATATCTTCCCGTTTTCTTCTAAAAGCCTCACAACTTACTTTTCTCTGTGAAGAAAGAAGGATATCTTACGATGGTGCATTTTGCTCCTCTGTTTTAGGACAGACAGCAAGGGAAAATCTAACTAGACACCGAATGTTGATAAATTTCTCTCCGTCTTATACAGTGCATTACTTGTCATTTTTGGGCACAAACACACACATGCAAAAAACACCATTGTTAAAAGTTGTCCTAAGAAAGACACGTCTTCTGGATTTCAGACGTTAAGATAACCTGACAGCTGGGCCCAGCAAGACGCACCAAGATAGCATGGACTCCAAAATACTGCACAATATCTCCGAATTAAAAACTCCCTAATCATGTTCACGGCCCTAAGTACACTTGTTTCTCTATTGTCACCTAGAGACAACTTTTTCTTGGGTTTTATATGGATTACTTTCATACATCAAAAACATTAAAACATGCAGTATCCATCACGGCCAACAGAAATAGGTAATATTTAGCTCTTATTAAGACGATCTAAAAAAATTTGTGACCCAGTATTCATTTATAGCATAAAATCAAGCATTTTCTTGTTATAAAATAACTTCAGTCATATTTACAACTAATTTGGTTTTATTTTATCATTTTTATTATTACTGAATATGATTCAAACAGCAATTAAGTAGCAGGCTACATTCAGACATTCATGACTTCTGTATAACACAATAGATTTCCTGTCACAGGGCTCTGGAGCCCTGCCATCTCGTATTTGCCAACAGATTACGGAATTCTCCCCTCTCCATCATAATTCAATCATTTTTGAGAATCCTGAGATACTATCACAGATGTGGAGAAAAAACAATGACTGTTAACGATGAAAAACAATGACTGTTAACGATGATAATTCTGTGCCTGATAGGCCCAGGGGTCACATGACCTTGAGTATTCTATATCTGAATTACTCAGATCATAATAAAATTTGCTACCAATGGGAACTGGAGAAAGTATCTTTTAAATATTTCTAAAAAAAATTCTTCTCGAGTTTTGAAACGACTATTTCATTTTGCTTTTCTGTATCTTTTTTGTTTTAATACGGGGAAGAAGGAAGTTTTTTATTTTGATTTACACAAAAGATTTGTCAGTGTTCATTAAAAAAATATCATTTACGTCACAAACTCCAACAAACAGTACTGTGTAGCTTAATTTTTTAAGGAAGGAAAGGAACGCTGGTTTTTTTAATATCATCAAAAAGCATTTTCAGCAGTAGAGGCTGACAAAATCTCTGAAAACTCTTTTGTTTTCTAAAATAAGATTATGCAGTCTCATGTTTATAGCTTGTCTTCTTCATAATTGAAAATCAATTCTATCCAAAGAAAAATTACAGGCAAATAAATATGTCTGGCCAATAATTTTTTTTTATATATACTCATATATTACCAGAAATGTATAAATATACCTAGACCTTAGAGCTAGACCTACATAACAAAGTATGTTAGTGCATTAATGTAGCACTGGTACAAGATTATTTCTTAGAAGGAAAGGCCAGTGGAAATTTTACTTTTAAATAATTATTTTATAAGTACATAAAATTTAATTTAATTTACAAGTACATGTATCTGCATCACTTTCTTTAGATTTATGAAATATTCAATAACAACCTAGAATTGCATCAACAGATTTAAAATTAATAATCAATGTTATTTAAAAGCAAAAAGGAAATCTGCTACCTTAGAAAATAAAAACAAAGAACAAGTACCCACCAGACCCAGGAATGCCTGCGAGGGGGAATAATATCCACAGGGACCGACAACATCCTGTCCGATCGGGGAAATTCCCAAAACTGGAGCGGCTCACGGAGGCTTCGTGGACAGAGCGCAAGAAATTCGGTGAGAGTTTGTGGACACAATAAGAATTACGTCAGCCTGGCTTTAAGTGAGGGGAGGACACACATTGAACCGTGACAGAGAACAAACACAGCTCTACCCTCTTCAGTTCTCTCCTGATCAGACGTAAACTGTTTCAGGTGAGACAAACAATACTAACACTGCCAGCTGTAAAGGTCAAACTCTGGATCCACACCTCACACTAAGACAGACCTTAGATCTGTACCTAGTACTCACTTTTCAGATTTCTAGGTTTTTCCACTTGAAATTTTTCCTTTCTCAGATTTTACAATAGTTACTATTTACAGAACGTTGCACCGAGGCAGTGTCTCATTGGAGCAAAAAATAGTTAGTACAAAGTATATCCATAAAAATACTTGGTACTAATACTGAGGACAGTTTTTGGATCCTCCCCTTGCATGAATCGCGTTTGTTTTACTAGAGTGACAGTCCTCACAAAACACAGCAAAGTCTTAATCATCAATCAATGAAGCTTAGCAGCCCAGCCTTCTGTTAAAGTCAACAAAGCTGGATCCACCACTAGATTTTATTCTCCAGCAACTTGATCTGGAAAAGGAGTTGAAGTACCGAAAATCTGCTCCCAAGCTCCTCTTATAGGAAAGATCAATGTATGAGGACTGACGTGTTACGTCATCAGGATAAAAAATACCTTCTATGTATTTCTCCTTTTATACCTCAAAATCAATTGGGGCCCATAAATCTTGTTGCTATGACCATTAAGAAATGTCAGGGCCAAGTTTTAACTGTGAAAAATAGTGCCATATTTCACAAATCAGCTCCAACAGAATATTTCATCCTCCCCACTGTGTCTCAGCCTATTATTGCTTCATCCTTACGACCAAATATTGCTACTTAGCATAATCTCCCTGTGGTTTACAGTAGCAGTGGTATGGAAAAGGAAAAATATAATATAACCTGACGCAATTTCAAGATTTAATAATCCTACAATATTGGTTGCAGTCTAAGAAACCCTGGCCTGAGCTTCATCAATAAACCATGCAACAGTTGCGAGATTGAATTCTAATTCCTTTTTCGGTTTTTCGTTATGACTAATTATTCTGGTTGTGTTTCATAAAATTTTATAATACACCCATCACCTAGAAACTCCAACATTTGAAAATAAATAATCTAAGTGCTTGCAAAAACCCTGGCTTCTTTTCCTGTTTTATTGAGGTTCTATACATACTAAGGAGCAGAAAGTTACTCACTAGGGGACAACTGATTACAGATGACAACCAGAGAAAGCAATAACTCATCAGATCCATTCCTTAATTAACTTGTTAATTTCCCTGTGGATAATCCATCCCTGATAATAGCACTAATAATCCAATGTAAATCAGGTTAATCAGGCAATAATGTTCCAAGGTGAGGTATTATTTTTTTTGCACTGTCACAGATTAACACACATTTATTAACCCTAAATTCCCACTTCACACTTTTATTTATGATATTTACGTCCTGTTTGCGAGAGTGATGAGGTACACATTTCTTTTTTACTGGACTTTCTTATCATTTCCTGGTCTTCTTGTACTTATCGTCACAGGTAATTAAATTCATAGATCGACCTCCGTAATCTTATATACAACAGCTGTACCACAATAAAGTCAGAACACAATGCTCCTTTTTTGGGCGAGGACATTGTCCGATATCCGAGTGAATTAATATGCTAATTGCGTCTTTTTTAAGGCACCTCAATGTCACGTAAAACTCCAAACACTTAGGTCAAAGACTATCCTAGCCCCAAAACATCATGACCTGTAAAATTATTCTCCCATTAATAGGACTGGAATGCATTGAATTATGTCAAGACCTTCCGTTATCAGAGAAAACTTCCTTTTAGCCATGCTAACATGGCTCCAACCTTCAGATAAGGACTGCCTTGTTAAGGAACCATTGCAAAAAATTCAGGGAATAATTAACCAAAAAAAAACTTTCTTATGAGCAGCTCCCAGAATCTGAACAAGTTTGTTTTTAAAAGTTGTCACTGCAGGAGGACATGCAGTGTGAAATTTGGGTCATTGGTGTACACAAACTGACCAAGCTGTCTGTCACCTCTTCTGTCAAAACAGTCCTTAACTACAGTCATTAATGGTTTTTACAACCTGTTCAACCTATTCACTATGAAAAGTTCTTAAATAAGGAATGATGCAGGAATCCACCAGTGAAAAAATGCAATGATAAATAGATTTTTTTTTTCAGATCCCCGGTAGTTCACAAACTTTGTTCTGTATCATCCACACATAATAACAGTAAGCCCCTGGGTGTTTGTTGGGATGATATGACCAGTGTCCACTGTTTGAATCCTTCGACCACATGGAGTGCAATGTCCAGACCCACTTAAACCTTCCAAAGGTCGTAACCTCTTACAAAAACATCCCCGGGGATTTGTCAACAAATTTAACGATAAAAAAGCCTACCCCATAATCGGAGAGCCTTCACAATGGAACAATTACTTCACTGAATCTAGGCGACTGAAATCCATTAGAGGGCTGAAGAAAACATTGAAATAGAAATATTGTATTGGGAACAAGAAACGCAATTAACACCAATAATTTTAAATTGGACGTTACACAGAAACGTCCATCATCAACAATCAATTCAAAGGAAATCAAAAGTTTTATTACTGAAAACGTTTAACACATTATGGGTGAATGTATTGGATACTCAATATATACTGGTTTGTCTAACAATCATTTATTGTTGACGAATTTGATTTGATAAGGGACTTGAAATTTGTAGTGTTTGCCGACTAACTACTCAGTAATTGTGTGTTTATGTATAATAAAAGGACCTTTATGTACAAAGTTTTAACTTACAGATGCTTGTGGGAAAATTGTATTTAAATAAATAAATATGTCATAACAAAAAGTAATTCAAAAATATTTATTTTGTGAAACTAAATTTGTTTTAGTACAGTAAAACTAATCCTTTATACAATATAATTTAAAAATTCAAAAAAATTAAAAGATAAAATTTAAATTAGGAAAACACTGCTAGACATATTAAATTGAAATTCATTTTTATATATTGAATATTCATATTTTAATTGATCTATTGTGAAATAAACAGACTTCTTCATAAAACAAATTTGATTTGGCATGATACACAGTTAAGAAAGATGTTTTATTTCTGGCAGCTTTCATTGGAAACCATTAAAAGCTTTTTCATCCTCAATAACAAAACTTCATCAGAAGAATGATATATATTAGCAAGCATTTAGCACAAAAATCAAAACAAGAGGCCTATGGGTCACAAACCTCATCTGAAGAAGAACAAAACATAGTTGGGAAAAAGAAGAATATTTTGAACGTGTGAGTTTCATTTCTTCAAGCCTAGAGGTTCTTATGAATATATCTGAGAAAGAATTTTTTTTCTCTTGTAAATATTACCATGTAAAAACTTTGATCCTTTAATATTCTGGCCCAACCTTATCCCATGGTCAGATAAGAAACTAAATTGAACAATTAAAGTTTATGAATGATGATGGAAAGAGACAACAATAAAACATCTGAGTGACTCAGGTGACCTAAATAACAAAGACAAGAGGCCTGTGGGCTACACAGCTCACTTGAGTAAGCTTAAGACCAAGTTTAAAATTGTTGAAGGTCAAAGTTTATGGTTCTGAGGTCATAGAAGACTACCAATGTATTGACGCAAGCAATGTGTGTCAAAAAAATCGTTCCTCTTCTGTAGTCTAACCCTACTGAGACCATAGCCAAGCACAAGCTGGAAACTGCAACTGAGGCTGCTTTCAAATAAGTTTAATCATTTCTGGCCTAGTGGTGGTGACTTTTTGAATTTTCCACTTTTGTTTAAATATCTCCCACTATGTGAACAATAAAAAAAATCTCCTTCAGTCTAAGATGCTTTGAGGAAAGTTTTGGTTGAAATTCATCCACAGGTTCTGCTAAGTAAAGTGGAAAATGTGAAATTCAGAGAAGCTACAGTTGAAGACTCAGGTGAGCTAATTACAAAAAGAGGAAACAAGACTCATTGACAACAGAAAATTAATGTTATGTCTAATGGAGAGTCAGTAATAAAATCAGAGGCTAATATCCTTTATCCCAGAAAATCAGAAGGTCAGTTTAGACAACCCATTATCAATAAATAATGACTCCATTCTAGGGTCAGATTGCCTTGAGTAGTGTTAAAGGTCAAATCTGGTGTTAATGGTCAAATGGGGGGCATTAATTCAATGTTATAAAGACATTTTGAATCATCAATTCTAGTCATTAATTCAATGTTATAAAGACATTTTGAAAAAAATAAGTGACTTAATACTTCTGCAATCTTTTCACAATTGCATGATCTGATTGAAATGTAATGAAATATCAGATCGCTTAAATTTCATATTGGAATACTAAAATGCCTGACTCTAGCTCACTAATTCACCATCTTGTCTCTCTACAAGTTCTCTGATTCATAACTGTTGACTGGGTGATGTATCTTTTTTGCATACATTAATCATAAGTACTAGAATGAATTCCATTTTTGTCATTAACAACGTAATAAAATTTCATCAATCTGAATTACCAGGCAGCCAGGTAACAAAAAATAGTTATACTAGGAATAGCTCCCCACCCCTCCTTCATTTTTGGGAAGGGGGAGAGAAAAGAGAGAAAATAGATTTCACATTCTCACCTCATAAAAATTTCCATCAAAGAATTCCAATGCTCAGAAAGAAGTTTATCTATAGAAAACACTAATTTTTTTTTTTTTAAAGTAAAATGAAACTTCTACAAAAACATTGATATATAAAGAAATGGTCAAGTTTTGAATAAAGTCTATACACTCTTAGAACTGAAGTTTGTAGTAAATTACTAATTCTTTCCACTTTGACCTTCAATTGTCACCTTGAACTGTCAGCTTAAAAGGCTCAGAATCAGGAAATAAATGTGAACACTTCATCAGTATAATTACAAAACAGACTTAATTAATACAATGTACATGTAAGTACAATGAAAGTATGATGAAAGAGGTATTTTTTGTGGAGGGTTAGGGTAATGTTTGTGGATTTCAAGGGTTATCCTTATCTAATACTTTACACCCCCACTCCAACTCCCCCCCTCCCCCCCCCCCCCCCAAAAAAGTCAACAAACTGATTATTTTAGAAATCTCAAATCTAAACCCATAATTGAGGACCTTCAAATCAAAAAATATTTTTGAATTCGTTATAACGATTTTTAACACACACAAACACACGAATTCGTTATAACGAATTTAATTTGTTATAACAGATTTTTTAAATTCGTTATAACGAATTTAGTTTGTTATAACAGATTCATTGAATTTGTTATAACGAATTTAATTTGTTATTACAGATTCATTGAATTTGATATAACGAATTTAATTTGTTATTACAGATTTACTTTGAGAAATTTTTCAATAAAAGTAAAATAGGATAATTCTTTCGACTTGAATTCGTTATAACGAATTTAATCTCTCTCTCTATTACAGATTTGTTGAATTTGTTATAACCAATTCAAGAATTTGGCTATAACGAATTCAATAAATCTGTAATAACAGATTAAATTCGTTATAACGAATTAAACAAATCTGTAATAATAGATTAAATTCGTTATAAAGAATTCAACAAATCTGTAATTACAGATTAAATTCGATATAACGAATTCAATGAATCTGTAATAACAAATTAAATTCGTTATAACGAATTCAATAAATCTTCAATTAAACAAATTAAAAAAAAAGTTCGTTATAACGAATTCTAAAAATCGTTATAACGAATTCAAAAATATTTTTGATAGGTCCTAAATGGGCTTCCGTAGAGAATTAATGCTGAGCCTTTATTGGTTTTGTGAGGAATAAATACGTTCTGGTAGAATTTGACAAACTTCTGATAAAGACATCATGTCTTTCTTCCAGTCATGTCAATAAAAATTTACAAGACATTTGTCATAAACAAAAAAATCCTGATAATCAAGAAAGATTGTGATCAACAAGTACAACAGAGTGAGTGAACTCAATTCAGAACAGCGTTTGTCATTCTCTTTAGGATAGATATGAATACCAGTTAAAGCCAATATTTATGAGGTAAACATTGGTAGGTGATATTTGTAAAGGGTCATCAACATTTTTCAAAAATCTCCTCTTTTTTCAACACTTTATGTCAAATGTTTTGTTTTTTGACAGCCATGCATATATTTATTTAATACATATGAAAAGGTCTTTTCAATTTTACTGTTTCCAAAAAATGAAATCCAAGTCATTTCATCAATTTACTTACATTTTTTTCTTCTCTGTTTTTGTTGTGATGAATCATTACAATTAAAAGTGATTTGTTTCTTTCTAATTTTTATTAATTCCTATTTACTTTTTTCAAAAATTACCAAAGGAAAAATATATACCATTATAATTAAA